GGGCTGCACTGACTTTATGCACGGGCCTGTTCTCCAAGCCTTCTAATCTGATCTCACCCCAAAGAATAGCCCCCCACCCCCTTAGCCTCTTGTTAAAAGATGCTCAGCGCTCCGCCTTCTGCCTCCACCCCTGCCCCACCAGCCTTGCGAGGCCCGATGGGGCCAAGTCGCCCCGTTTAAAAGGATGAAATCCGGGGGCGCCTGGGTCGCTCAGTGCTTGTGCATCTGCTTTTAGCCCAGGGCGGGGTCCCGGGGTCCCGCAGGGAGCCTGCTTCTCCCTCTGCCTGTGTCCCTGCCCCTCTCTGGCTGTCTCTCATGAATACATAAATGGAAAAAAAAAAAGTAAAACAATAAAAATAAAAAATAAACAAAAGTATGAAATCTGTGACTGAAATAACCAAGGGGATGCAGCGAGAAGCAATGGAGCCAAGTGCTAAGAACTTGAACTCTAGAACCAGACCATCTGGGCTTGAACCTCAGCTACCGAGTTCATTCATCACTCTCTCCTTCACTCAGTTTCCCTGGCTGTAACACAGGAGTCCGTGCGAGCCACCCCACAGGGATGGTGTCAGAGGGCTTTAAACAGTGCTGGGCACCCAGGAGGCGTGGTGTGTGCCTGAGTTGCTAACATCTCCGAGCCCATTCGAAGAATACAGTAAGGCTGTTTATTTTATTATTTTATTTTATTTTATTTTATTTTATTTTATTTTATTTTATTTTTGCATGTTTTATGACTCTTTATTCTGCTTTATAAACACATACAATCTTTTACATATTTTTGTGACTCTCCAAATACTCCACTTTTGTTGCAACTCTAAAAATCATTAAATCAAAATACAATATTTTACAAGCATGTATTCTAATACACAAAGATATCGAGTCTAATAAGCAGAATTTACTTTTTTTATGATCTTATTTGTTTTTTTTTTTAATTTTTTTTATTGGAGCTCAATTTGCCAACATATAGCATAACAACACCCAGGGCTCATCCCGTCAAGTGTCCCCCTCAGTGCCCATCACCCTGTCACCCCAACCCCCCACCCACCTCCCCTTCCACTACCCCTTGTTCGTTTCCCAGAGTTAGGGGTCTCTCATGGTTTGTCACACTCACTGATATTTTCACTCATTTTCTCTCTTTTCCCCTTTATTCCCTTTCACTATTTTTTGTATTCCCCAAATGAATGAGACCACATAATGTTTGTCCTTCTGCGATTGACTTATTTCACGCAGCATAATACCCTCCAGGTCCATCCACGTCGAAGCCAATGGTGGGTATTTGTCGTTTCTCATGGCTGAGGAATATTCCATTGTATCCACAGACCACATCTTCTTTATCCATTCATCTTTCGAAGGACACCGAGGCTCCTTCCACAGTTTGGCTATTGTGGACATGGCTGCTAGAAACATCGGGGTGCAGGTGTCCCGGCGTTTCACTGCATCTGTATCTTTGGGGTAAATCCCCAGCAGTGCAATTGCTGGGTCGTAGGGCAGGTCTATTATTAACTCTTTGAGGAACCTCCACACAGTTTTCCAGAGTGGCTGGTAAGGCTGTTTAAAGGGATAACGAGGAGACGTATTGCTCGGCACGCCGGGAGCTTCACAATATAGCATTACGTCCAAGAAGCAGATGTCAGGACAGCAGCCACTGGAGAGCCACGTATCATAAACATGCATGGACCCATCGAAGAATATACACTGGTGGGCTAACAGTGGTTTTTTAACCGAGTAGCAGAAGAATTGATTTTATTCATTGATCGGTCTTCTCCTTATTTTCTAAATTTTTTTTGTATTTATTTATGATAGTCACACACAGAGAGAGAGAGGCAGAGACACAGGCAGAGGGAGAAGCAGGCTCCACGCACCGGGAGCCAGACGTGGGATTCGATCCCGGGTCTCCAGGATCGCGCCCTGGGCCAAAGGCAGGCGCTAAACCGCTGCGCCACCCAGGGATCCCTTCTCCTTATTTTCTAAGTGTTCACTGTTACTTATACATGACTTGGATACTGTTTTAGTGTAAAGAAAATAGTTTTCTGCTTCCCTCGTTGAGTCCTGTGACCTCCTGGTTTCGGGTCCCCTCTGTATGGGAGATACATGACCAACTCGGATTGTTCCGATTGCTTTGTTTGTTTGCTTGCCCGCTTTGGGGGCATGGATTATATTTAGAGAGAGTGGTTAACCATTTTGGTTTTAGTCTTCCTACAAATTTATGTTTCCTTAAGTGTCTACTCTCATGCAAGCTTACGGAGGCCGAGCTCGGCTCCAACAAGCAGTAGGATCCATGGGTCTTGCCTCCCGTTCCAGGCTTTGTCCTACTACTGTGCCATCTTTGGTCGCCAGTCATTGGTCACTCGTGCTTGCTAGAGCCTCAGGTACCCTACCCTAGGAGACTTGTTAGCCAGTGGCGACTTGAAACATTCCACCACAGGATTTTTTTAAAAGAGATTTTATTTATTTTATTTCACGAGGGACCCAGAGATCCACCACAGGATTAAAACAACAGGCCTTTCAAATTATTTCAGCTGAGAGGTACCAACAAGTTTGAACAATAACATTTGATTAATTAACACAGAAAATCAGGTCAGTCAGTCCCAGTTGGTTTCTGTCTGTAGATAAAACTGAAATCATCCTGGTTGTAATTATGCAATGTCAGAACAGCGTGTCCGATTCTGGAAGGACCTCAGGCCTACTGATAGTTTGGTGTCACACAGTCCAAACATTTGGATGCCCGGATTCCGTGAAGCTGGGTGTTGGGGTGCTACTGTCTATGTTTCCTTTTCTGTAAAAACCAGTAATGACTCATACTCCAACATCCCTCATGGAATTGTTTGAAAATGTGCAGAATAAGTTCTGCCTGTGATCCCAAATTTTTATCATAAGACAAAAGATGCTCTACACATCCCCAGTGAAAAGTTCAGGACTACCTCTATGAAGTGGGGTGGATCTAAAAAAAAAATGGATCAGAACCTATCGTGGTGCCGCACCTGGCAGCCTTGTACCTGACCTAAGGAGAAGGGGTTATTTTTTTTTAAGATTTTATTTTTTATTCATGAGAGACAGAGAGTCAGAGACACAGACAGAGGGAGAAGCAGGCTCCCTGCGGGGGGGCCCAATGCGGGACTCGATCCAGGGACCCCAGGATCACGACCTGAGCCAAAGGCAGATGCTCAACCGCTGAGCCACCCAGGCGCCCAGGAGAAGGTGTATTAGAGATCCAGATTAAGAATTTGCTGACATTTAGGGACGCTGGGGGTGCTGGGCAGCTCAGGGTGTGATCCTGGAGTCCCAGGATGGGAGCCGACTTCCCCTCCCTCTGCCTGTGTCTCTACCTCTCTCTGTGTGTCCCTCATGAATAAATAAATACAATCTTAAAAAACAAGAATTTCCTGACATTTATGAATGTGCCATAGTTTACTTATCAGCCACCTATCCACCCAGTATCTATTCAAATCAACTATTGCACTTGAAAGGCACTTTTAAAAGACGTCTGCGCAGAATGAGACATGCCTAAACCAGCAGAGACAGGCAGATGAAGGGACGGGCAATGTTTGTAAAAAGTATCCTCACATTTCTACATCCTTGGTGTTTCTTCTTTTTGTCTAGTTGTGTGGTTACGTCTCCCTCCCCCTGACTTAATCCCACATCAGTTTGTTTAGGCCTGGACCTTGCATCCTGACCACAGAGGACGTGACACATCGTCAGTGACATTAGAGTCTCGGGGTTTCTCAAAATACCATCCCAAAGCCACCCAGATCTAGATAATGTGGGTCGTTGTTGAATATTGCAACAACCCGTACCTCGCCGCACACCTACTGAATACACAGCTCCAGGAGTGCAATTTGGAGACCTGCATGTTAATCGAAGTTTCTGAATGATTCTATGCACACACGACAGTTAGGGAGTGAAGTGTCCATTGTTTAGGTGAACATCCTTTGATTAGGAGACTGACCTTAACCCACAGCTGGAGTATCAGAGATTGGGCCAAAGCCAGTGGCACCTCCTAGCTCCCTACTCCGCTGTCCAAGATGGTGGAGGGGTCAGGAGTGGGGCAAGGAACAATCCCAGCACTGTGAAAATGATTCAGAGTGCACAATAGGACACTGGTAAGAGAATGAAAAGGCAAGACGAGACAGGGAGAAAATATTTACAAATCACATATCTGATGAAGGACTCAGATCCAGAATTATCTAAACAACTCTCACATTCCAATAATAAAAACAAAACAAACAACTCAATTTAAAAGTCACCGAAAGATTGGCTCAAACATTTCACTAAAGAAGAAAGGCTGATAGCAAATAAATACATGAGTAGATGTTCAACATCATTAGTCATGAGGGAAATATGAACTAAACCCAGCATAAGTTTAGTAAGAGTGGCTACAATTTTTTTTTTAAACTGATAATGCTGCCAAGGATGTGAAGCCATTGGAAATCCTATGGGTTACTAGCGGCAATGGAAAAGGGTCCTGCCATTTTAGAAAACGGGTACGAACGTGCACTCAGGGCACCTGGGTGGCTCAGTTGGTTAAGTGTCTCTCTCTCTTTTTTTAAGATTTATTTATTTATTCATGAGAGAGACACACACACAGAGAGGCAGAGACACAAGCAGAAGCAGGCTCCCTGCGGGGAGCTCGATGTGGGACTCGATCCCAGGACCCCGGGATCACAACCTGAGCCAAAGCCAGACACTCAGCCACTGAGCCACCCAGGGGCCCAAATGGCCGACTCTTGGTTTCAGCTTAGGTCTTGATCTCAGGGTCATGGGGTTGAGCACGGCATCAGGCTTTGCGCTCATTGCGGTGTCTGCTTCAGATTCTCTCCGTCTCCCTCTCAAGTCCTCTTCCTCTCTCAGATAAATGAATTAATTAAATCTTTTAAAACAAACAAACAAACATGAATCTGCACTCCCAACCCCAGTATGATGGTATCGGGTAGGGCTTTGGGGCCCCAGGAACAGGATCAGTGCACTTTTAAAAAAGGACATTCTCTCTCTCTCTCTCTCTCTTAAATATGGCACACTTCACAAAATTGCATGTGTTCCCTGCAAAGGGGCCACGCTAATTTTCTCTGTAGCGGTTCCGTTTTGATGTGTGAGCTGCCAAAGTGAGCACTCCCTTGCCCTCTTTCTGCCATTGAGGCACAACAAGAAGACAGCCCTCTGTGACCCTGAAGAGCCCCCCCCCCAGAACCTGACCATGCTTGGCACCCTGATCTCAATCTTCCTGACTCCAGAACTGTGAGATAGAAATTTCTGCCTTTTTTTTTTTTTTAAATTTCTGCTTTTTATAAGCCACTGGGCCCATGGCACTTTGTTATAACGGCCCAAAGTAAAGCAACAGGAGAGATGGAAACACACGCCCACATAAGCGTCTGTCCAGGCAAGGTTTATAGCGGCCCCGTGCATAATCACCCCAAACTCGTAACAACCCAAGTGCCCCGTCAACAAGGAAACATAAACAATCCGTGGTGCATACTGTGATCAATACTGCTCTGCCATAAAAAAGAAGAAAGCACCGATCTGCTCAACAACATGAACGAGTCTTGGGATCCCGGGGTGGCTCAGCGGTTGAACGTCTGCTTTCGGCTCAGGGCGTGATCCCATAGTCCCAGAATCGAGTCCCACATCGAGCTCCCTGCATGGAGCCTGCTTCTCCCTCTGCCTGGGTCTCTGCCTCTCTTTCTGTGGGTCTCTCATGAATAAATAAATAAAATCTTAAAAAAAAACAACAACAACATAAACAAGTCTCAAAAGCATTATGGGGAGTGAAAACAAGAGACAAAAGATGACGTACTGTTAAGATTCCATTTATATGGCATTCTGTAAAACCCAATCTATAGGGACACAGACTCATGGTTGTCAGGAATTGGGGATTGGGGGGAAGTGGTGGGAAACTTTTTGAGGTGAGACAAATATACTCTATCTTGGTTGTGGTGGTCGTGACATGACTTGGTTTCTTTCTTTCTTTCTTTCTTTCTTTCTTTCTTTCTTTCTTTCTTTTTTTCCTTCTTTCTTTTTTTAGATTTGAAGATCCAATTGGCTTTATTCAATGATTTTATGAATCAGGCAACACCCACTTACCATGTAGAAAGGAGCTCTGAAGAACCGTACAAAATGGGAAGCTCTTACAGGCAGAAGGGGGAGGGATAAGGAAAGACTGAATTACTACATCTTCCTTCGGGGCACAAAAAAAAATAATCTACACAGCAGATTTTCTCATTGCTGTTGACCAGAAAATTCCGGACTGACAGGTTAGGACTGAAATCTTGGAAAAAGTTGAAATTGCATTTAGGTTAGATATTAAGCTTCGGTTTGTTGACATAGGTTTAGCACAAGTGACTTCGTGTTGGGCCTTTTGTCTCTCTTTTTTTTTTTAACAGAAACATTCACACTTAAATGATATAACATATAAATTTTAAAATATATAAAATAAAACATTATCTATGATTTTGTTTCTTAAAACTCTTAGAACTGTATACATAAAAAGGACAAATGACACTATTGGTAAACTAAACCTGCATGATCAACAATGAAGAAAGTTGGACCCAAAAGCATAAAACTAATACATTCACTATTTTCCAAGTGAAGACTTACACATGCAAGTAGAACTTAATAAGGAAGTGTTTCTTTTTTTTTTAAAAAAAAAGGCTTAAAACGTATTTTAATAAGTTGATGCTGGAAGTGTTTCCGTAAACAATATGCCCCACCGCTGTGGAGGCCACTGAGGACCTCCATGTGGGATTCCAGGGGGACGAGTATCGACTTCTATAATAAAAGAGGCCTCTACCAGAGTCCATGACCACTGCTCCCTAAGCAACCCTACATGCCCTTTAGAATAAGAGAGAAATGAGCTCTAAATTGTGACAGATAAAAATAAATAAATTAAATAAATAAATAGATAGATAGATAGATAGATAGATAGATAGATAGTGACAGATCCAGGAAAGCACTATAAAAAATGTAGGGCCAGGACACCCGGGTGGTTCAGTGGGTTAAGGGTCTGCCTCCAGCTCAGGTCAGGATCTCAGGGTCTTGGGATCCAGTCCTGCGTTGGGCTCCCTACTCAGCAGGGAGTCTGCATCTCCCTCTTCCTCTGCCTCTCCTCACCCCAGTTCATGCTCTCTCTATCACTCACTCTCTCAAATAAATAAATAAAATCTTTTAAAAAAAATGTAGGGCCAGTTTCCACTGCATTGTTTACCAACCCCCCTGAGAGAGCTCACTTCTCTTCTGAAAACAGTTCCAGGATGAGCTCAATCAACAGTCTCTCTCAAAAATGGCAAAGAAGATCAAGTAACAGGTGATTGATTTTTGTCCAGAAAACAACTATCTACACAGGAGGAGAGCAGTGGGAAAACAAACGTTTAATAACAACAACAACAAAGAAAAACAAGAGAAAAAAAGATATCGAATCTCCCCTTTGTTTTAATTTCCCGGTGCCAGATATACAACCTGGGTGACTGACATTTCTTTCTTTCTTTCTTTCTTTTTTTCTTTCTTTCTTTCTTTTTTTCTTTCTTTCTTTCTTTCTTTCTTTCTTTCTTTCTTCCTTCCTTCCTTCCTTCCTTCCTTCCTTCCTTCCTTTCTTTCTTTCTTTCTTTCTTTCTTTCTTTCTTTCTTTCTTTCTTTCTCTTTCCTTCTTTCTTTCTTTCTTTCTTCCTTTTTTAGGATTTTTTTTATTTATCGTGACCGACGTTTCATAGTTGCTGACTCGATCCAGTTGGTGCCACTCAGACGTGGCCAATTTTTTTTCATGGATGGGAAATAAAGGGGCAAAGAACAGTATGAGGATTTGAGGGAAACCAGGTAAATTATGAGACACTGAAGGGGTAGATTGGATCCCAGAAGCACCACCTCAGATTCTACAAGAAAGAACTGAGTTGCCACTCGGCGATGCACAAGACGCACCACATGGTGCACCACAAAGATCAAAGTCTTAAATAGCAGAAAGGATGGGATGTTAGTTAACCTGAAAGCAATCCGACAGCGTGCACCTTTAGAAAAATTGTATGAACACCCATTTGGGTGAAAAGGAATTTGCCTTGTAATGAGTCACGGCTGCTGGGAAACGCACCTTTTGCAAAAGACAAAACTCGGTCCCAGTCTTAGCTCTACAGTCTCTTGACACACTACAGGGTCTTAAAATAGTTTCCGCTTCTCTAGTCACTTTTGCAAAGCTCTTTAGGATTTCTTGAGTTCAGTGGGACTCCAGTGGGGAGCAGCTGGTTCTCAGGAGCTCCCTTCTGTAAGGAGCTGGCCGCTGGCAGCAGGGCAGGTCTGTGTGCCCGAGGCCTCAGGAGAGCTGCGGATTTGGCAGGGGAATCAGACGTTTTCAGATCCTCAGAACGGACACCCCAGAAGGATCTGATTGCCCTCACTCTGCAGAGTCCACATTCTTCTCGCTGCCTCCAGTTGTCATTTCAATCCGGGCTTCCTTACAGAGCACGTTTTCCTTTTAAAATATTTTCTTTCAAAAAAATAAATAAATAAAAAATAATAAAATAATAAAATATTTTCTTTCCGGCAGCCCGGGTGGCACAGCAGTTTAGTACCGCCTTCGGTGACTGGGTGACGGGCACTGAGGGGGGTACTTGATGCGATGAGCACTGGGTGTTATGCTATATGTTGGCAAATTGAACTCCAATAAAATTAATTAATTAATTAATTAAAAAAATAAAAAATAAAAGTGCTGCCTTTGGCCCAGGGCATGATCCTGGAGACCTGGGATTGAGGCCTACGTCGGGCTCCCTGCATGGAGCCTGCTTCTCCCTCCTCCTGTGTCTCTGCCTCTCTGTCTCTCTCTCTCTCTGTGTCTCTCATGAATAAATAAATAAAATCTTTAAAAATAATTAAAAAATAAAATATTTTCTTTCATAGGGAACCTGTTAATGTGGGCACAGTGCTCGATCCTAATGCCAGGGATGACCAGCTTTAAAGATATGGGCTAAAAAAAAATAAAACAAAAAATAAAATAAATAAAAATAAAATAAAATAAATAAAGGTATGTGCTGGTGTGCGTAGAAAATTATAGCAGAATGTGTTTATGTGCGCGCGATTGTTCGATTCTCCACGCTTCGTGACCCTCCAGCTTTCTCTGCAGCTGATTCAATTAGCCATGCGTGTGGCACTCTGTTTCTTTAAGGAATTACCCTAATGGACAGAATCAGGGAAAATGAGTACAGAAAGAGGGTCACTGCTTCATTTTTGTCTAAAAATCTGGGTTTTTTTTTAAAGATGTTATTTATTTGTTCATAAGAGCCACCCAGGCACCCCATGTAAATTTCATATACATGGAATCACCTGGTTTCTTTATCACCAAGTAATGTTTTTGAGTAATGTTTTAAATCTCAATCCGTAGTTTTTCTTTAAAAAAAAAAAAACTGTAGCGTCTGATTCCGTTGCAAGGATACGCCACCATTTGTGTATCCATTCTTCCGTTGATGAGTGTTTGGACCATTTCCAGTTTAGACCTATCGTGAGTAAAGCTGCTGTGAGCGCTGTTGTATTTTACGGCCCTGGCCTTTCACTTCCCTGGGTTACACACCTAGGAATAACGGCCGGGCCGCACGGAAGGTGTCTGCTGAACTTCATCAAAATTAGTATCATTAGTCATGGTTTGGACACAAGAAAACAGATTTTTAGGGATGCCGGTTGAGCGTCCGCCTTCAGCTCAGGCCGTGATCCTGGAGACCCAGGATCGAGGCCCACATAGGGCTCCCTGCACGGAGCCTGCTCTCCCTCTGCCTGTGTCTCTGCCTCTCTCTCTCTCTCTCTCTCTGTGTGTCTCCCATGAATAAATAAATAAAATCTTTTTTTTAATGAAATTTACAAACAAGCAAACCCAGTTTATGGAGTAGAAGACGGAACAGTGGTTCACTGACATGTGAGGAGCCTAGGGGTTGGTTGCCTGCGAAAGGGAACAGGGGAATGTTCTGGGGCAATTGGAGAGATTCCGTATCTTGATCCAGGCGGTTGTCATAAGAGAGTATAGAGAGGGGGAAAGGTCATCAAGCTGTGCAGGTAGGATTTGTGCATTTTGCCGCATGTACATTATGCACGAGATTAAAAACAAACAATGCTAATGATGTCCATGTCCTGTTGCTGCAGATCCCG